ACCCAGTCCTCTGCCCGGCCTCACCACCAGCTTATCCACACAGGGGAAAAGCCACATCAGTGCTCAGTGTGTGGAAAGAGCTTTGCTAAGTCCTCCAAGCTTGCTCAGCACCAGCGCACCCACACAGGGGAGAAGCCATATCGGTGTTCAGAGTGTGGAAAGAGCTTCACTCACTCCTCCAACCTGGCTCAGCACCAGCGTATCCACACAGGGGAGAAACCCCATCGGTGCTTAGTGTGTGGGAAGAGCTTCACTCAGTCCTCCACCCTGGCTCAGCACCAGCGTATCCACACAGGGGAGAAGCCACATCATTGCTTAGAGTGTGGTAAGAGCTTCACTCACTCCTCCACCTTGGCTCAGCACCGGCGTATCCACATGGGGGAGAAGCCACATCAGTGCTCACAGTGTGGAAAGAGCTTCACTTACTCATCCAGATTGGCTCAGCACCAGCGTATCCACTTTGGGGAGAAGTCATATCAGTGCTCAGAGTGTGGGAAGAGCTTTTCTCAGTCCTCACACGTAGCTCGGCACCAGCTTATTCACATGAGGGAGAAGCCATAATAGTGCTCAGAGTGGGAAGAGCTACATCTAATCTTCCCACCTGCCTGGCACCAGCATATCCACACAGAGGAGAAACCACATCTGTGGTCTGAGAGTCGGAAGTGCTTCCTCCACTCCTCCAAACTGGCCTAGACCAGTGCATCCCTATGCAGGAGCATCCATAGTTCTGCCCGCAATACAGGAAGGGTTTGGAGATGTATACTGGCTCATCACCCACCAGCATCTGTATCCAGGGAGGCAGTCTCATGCTGGGGTACTGCAGCAACAGTTCATCCTTCGTCCAGCCTTTGTAGGGCACTGCAAAACCCAAAGGAGACAGAGGCTGGCCTCCCCGCTTTGATGTGGGTGAAGAGTTGAAAGGAAACACCTCAGGAAGAGGCCAGCACGGATACTGGGGGAACCTGTGAGGAGATTGTGGCAGAATACCATCTCTGTCTCTCCCCAAACTCTGCTAGGTGACAATTTGGTTACCATGGTCACTGCAGAGGGCAGAATCCTCTGGTCCCATCTGCTTCAGGTAACCTTGAGTTGTAACTTGAGCTCCATACATTTCTGAGGGTTGGTGGAGAACTGCTCCCTCTGCCTATGTGACTGGCATCACATACCTGGGTGGAGGGGTTAAGCTCCCTATTGTTCCAAGCAATGCCAACATGACTGGGAGGGGACTGGAGCCCCTTCCAGTCTACCTGGCAACCAGTGATGCGTTTCAAATAGCTTGGCTGGCAGCCAACAGTTGCTGGCCTTCATTGGATCAGGTAAATGAGGTCATAAGGTCTGTATTTATGGATAGCTCAATGAGAACGCAGGGAGAAGCTGGACCATCTGAAGCTCACTCTCTCTCCTGAAACTCATAATCAATGAACTCCAGAGAGAATCTTCATCTGCCTCTTTTTATTGATACATATGAGTAAGCTACTTGAGAGCTACCTAGATACGTAGCTTGCTGTAACATAGATGCTCTTTGCTCTATGGGATTTCTTTGATTTTGCTCTACTCTGTATCCTATTCCAAACGTACTCGTAAGCAATAAAGTT